GATGGGGACAGGGATGGAGATGGGGATGGGAACAGGGATGGAGATGGGGAGAGGGAGTGGGGGGAAGAGTAACGAGGACAAGGAAAGCAAGTGAGTCTGTCCAACTTGGCCACAGAAGTCATTCTAGCTGCTTGAAATCTTCTGTTCTCTCCTTCATTTTCACCAGGTAATGAATTATAGTACTTTTTGTGTGCTCAGAAACATAAAAAGAAATCTCTCAAAATAGTGTTTATGTCTGCTTTTTTCCACCCTCTCTCTCTTTCTCTCTTTTGGGGGGGAGGGTAGCGCCCATGGGATGATGCCTGCTCTAGCTGCTGCTTCCTGGGTCCCAGAGAACACAGTTTTGCCAAGGGCTTGAGAAAAGGCAGTGAGGGCTGAACCAGTGAGGAAACAAATCAGAAAATGCACAAGGCATATCCACACGGGAGAAGCGCCATTATAGTAGGAAGCGGCTGTAACCAAGCAGTTGGGGAGTCAGAACCCCCAGAGCTCTGCTTTCTCCACCTCTGGGTCTGAGGAGGGGCCCCAGAGTTATCAGCTTGGAGACTTAGAGCCTGGAAGCAGGAGGGGAAGGAGGGAGGGAGGGAGGGGATGACTGCAGAAATGGCAACTTGAGGAGCACATGGACACCAGCCAATGGTTTTGGTATCTTACAGAGAGAGACTGCTCAGGCAGTGGCCACGCTGCTTCACGTTAGTGACCACATACACCCCCCTCCTACTGCAAGAACAAATTCACAACCTCACACTGGGACTTGGGCGGGAAGGCGGATGCGGGATCCAAACTCATTCAAATGGCAACGAGTAGACTGAACCAAAGGGTCCAAGATGGCACCAAGGGGTGAGGCTGGGGGGTGAGCAGATGAGAGGGTGGCAGCACTGCAAGCTTAGAACGACAAGCTTTACTCAATTGAATGGGGCAGAGCGGCTGCTCTCAGGAACCATGGAATCTGACTCCACTGACCCGTGGGCTGTGTTCAGTTCGGCTGGGCACCAGGAAGGTGACACATTCCTAGGCTCAAGGTTGTCCACACCCTACAGCCGGTCCATTCGGAAAGTGTCCTCTGTGGCAGGGTCAGTGAGGACCATGTCAGGATCATTGAGCATGTGAAGCCCATCTAGGGTTAAAGGGTCAATCTTGAGTTCGTCCAGGGGGAACTGGGAATCGGAATCGAAACTGACATCACCAACTCCTGCCAAAGTGCTGGTCAGTTCTTTTGATAAACTGGGAGGGGACTCCCCTGTCACTGGAATGGGAGAGAAGACACAAAAAAAAAAGGATTAGCTTCTCCACTCCAAACATAACATCCCCATCCAGAGAAAAACACATTGTGACTCAAAGAGCAGAGTTCAGCCTGTTGAATGTCTCAGGCTACACCTGAAAAGAGAAAAGCTGATTCTAACTGGGTAATACTTGGGCTTTTCACATCGTGCTATTCTGGGGCCTAAGAGAAGGTATCATTGTCATCAGTATGAGGGGGGACATAAAGAAACATATATATCAAGCCTTGGGGGAAGATACTTAAAGCAAGAATCCAAACTCTTGCTTGGAATTGCTTCTGTAAGCCAATTAGGACAGATGAGTGTGAGGAGAGGGATATCAGGAATGTCAGAGCTTGGATGGCCTTTAGAACACAGAACAAGGGAAAGAGAGCAGAGCGGAGACGACTCTGCCACGATTACTGTTAGGGAACAGGGGCCTGACCAGGACAGAGGCTTTACACCATCCCAAGTCGTTCTTGAGGTCCTGAAGGCCTATACAACTTCCCTTAAGATAAACACATATGTCAACATGGTAAATTCAAATGCACCAAGTGAGGCTACACTCTTCCCTGTATAAAACCAAAGCCCTATGCACAAGGGGGATGGGGGTGTGCTGTCAGAGACTGCATTCTTTGGGGGTCACATTTACACCATGAACACTGTCTGCCCGCACTTGGCCCACTGGCTCTCTAAATGGCAACTCAGTAACTGGTTAACCAGTATTCTTGTTCTGGTACAACACATGTTCTGGTGTGAGGCGTCTCTTCCTCAAGGAGACCACAGGATGCTATGTAACAAGCCCTGGTCTGGGAATCTGAAGACCTGGTGGAGAGTCTGACTCAGCTGTGTGCAAGACTGTGGGCAAGTCTGGGTGGGTCTCAGTTTCTTCATCTGTAAAACACTTACCAGATGCCAGTTCCCAGGCTTTCCTTCAAACCGAAAATCCAGGGAATCTGGTCTCTTTGAGCAGGGAAGCCTGCTGCTTCATAAGAAGGGCCAACCCAGGCCATTACTCCTCCACTCCAGGAATGCAGGCCCAAGTCACCCAGTCTTTAAAGTAGAGCATATATACCACTTTCCCCAAGAAATTTCACATATTGATAGAGAGCCAATTCCAAGCCCTAACCCCCAGCACAACTCATTCCTATGCCAATAGATGGATAGATGATATACATACATAAATATAATATATATACACACCCAAAACACATATACATATAATTACATAGCATCAGAAAATGTGCATGTGGTAACATACGAAAGTGTATCTGTATTTCTGTAGATGTATTTGCACGTTCCTTGTCTTAAGGGAAGATATTCATTTCAGCAGAATTCGACAACCATTCATTAAATGCTGACTAGGTACAAGGTATTATGATAGGCATTAGAGATAAATAGACAAAAACCAAACAGTCCCTCAAGGAGCTATATTCTACTGGGTATGAATTTGTTCTTTACCAAAAATATAACCAGCAGAGTGTTACAATTGTAGTTGAGTGCTTAAGAGACAATAGTGATGATGACAGTGATGGATGGTAGTAACAGATGATGGTGCTCATGAGTGGTGAGGTGATGGTATTCATGGGTGGAGCAGGTGATGGTGTTGAGGGTGGGGAGGTGAGGGTGTTGATGGGTTGAGGAGGTGAGGGTGCTGATGGGCTGGGGAGGTGATGGTGCTGATGGGTGGGGAGGTGAGGGTGCTGATGGGTTGAAGAGGTGATGGTGCTGATGGGTTGGGGAGGTGATGGTGCTGACAATGGCTAGCAACCACATAGAAGGAGAAAGGAGAGCTGTGGAAGTCTGGTCTCAGATCCTCAGGGGAGAGGGAGGAGCTTACCTGTAAGGATGATGTTGGGGATGTTTCCGTGGCTTGAGTAGTTTAGCTGCTGTGAGTCCTGAAGGCTGCTGTGACTCCCTGTCAGTCCCATCATGGCAGCCTGGGAGTAGTTAAGTGTGGAGCAGGGGCTGTAGAGGCTGTTAGAGCTGATAGCGTTTTCAATCATATTAAACTGTTCCAGCTGAAGATCAAAGCACAAACCAAGCATTACCCCAACCACATCAGGCCAGAGAATCCTGCTGCCTTGTCCAGCTCAGACTGTGCACACAACTCATCCCCAGAGGACAAGCAAGAACATGCCCCAACTGGTTTCTGGACTCTTTACCCCTGTCTTTTTCCATCCAATTCAAGTGGGTTAAATGCTTGTTGAATGAATGAATGAATGAATGATGATGATGGCTCCTGCTGGTATCTTTAAAGAACTGCAAATAACCTTAGAAGAGAGTCTGCTCAGCTTTTTCCAGAGGAAAGGGGAGAAAAGATACTGCTTTAGGGCACTTGGCAAAGCCTTACTCTCTGCCATCTCTTGCCTCAAGCTAGCACAAAGGCACACATATCTACAGCAGGGGTGCCCTGCTGTGAGCGGGGCTCGGACACAGCCTCCCTCTGATCTGCGGTTCAGACCTTCCTCCCTTCTTTCGTTCTCTCATTCACCTTGGAGGACAAGGTGCAGAAATGGGGTGCTATCTGCCTGAGGGAAGGAAACAAAAACTACCCAAACGGTGCCTGTTGCCCTGGAGGCCTCTGGGTTGGGATTCAGACCAACAGCTTACTTCTCATTTATGAAGCACTTCTCAGACACTGCCTCACTTGACACTTCACAGTTCATCCCTGAAGTGAGCAGGAATCCACATCCACTCTGCAGATAAGGAACTAGAACTCACTCACCCTGGGTTAAATGACTCATCTAGGGTCACAAAGCTAGAACGTGACAGAGTCAGCACTTGAACCCAGGCCCTGGATTCTGAGTCAAAGAGTAAGGAGTCTCTTTGCCACATCCAGCAGGTCAACTTTGATAATCACTGAAGTGGAGGAACCTCACGGGCCACAAGAATGATCTGAACTGAGCCCCAAGGAGGTCAAAGGACCGTAGGAGCACAGGAACCTCAGAAGCCCAAGGCCCGCGTTTTATTGAGGAGAATACTGAGGCCCAAAGCAGAGAAGCCCAGGTTCTCTACCTCCACCTCCCCTTTCTCCTAGCCTCATACTCTTTCCTACGAGAAGCCTGCTGAGAAAGGCTTCCATATTACCTAGTATGATATGTTAGAAAGAGTCTTGGCCTGGGATTCAGGAGAGCTGGGTTCTAATTCTGATCCTGCTACTCCATTTGTGGTTTGTGACCCTGAACAAGGCACTAAACCTCTATGGGCCTCCCTGTTACACTAGGTGATTTTAAAGGTTCTTTTTCTGGCTGTAAAAACTTCCATCTCAGATGACGACTTTCCTAAGTGAAATGCCAGAGTTCACTGATTGGGGAAAAAAAGGACCTGGAGGCTGGGATCGGACGCTGCGGTCCAGGGACAGTGGCCCCAGCCACAGAGGGAAGCAGAAAGTGGCTCGCTATTGTAGCCAGGAGAAGTGGACATGCCATTCTAAGCAGGAAGCTTACAGGGCTCACCTGATGGGACAGGGCATTAGCCTGCCTCGCTGTCATCTGCTGATCATAAAAGGAGTCCCCAAAGACGCTGCCCAGGACGGAAGAGTGCTGCAGATAAAAGAGAGTCCTGCTGTCGTGAGATCCCCCACACCTGGCGGGCCACTGAACAGGTGGCAGGCTGCTGAAGCCGCTTAGAGCAGCTCTGCTCCATGGCTGGCTCAGTCAACCTAATCAACAAGGCTCAGACTTTGGAGACGCTGACTGCTGGCCTGACTAGGCCCACGACAAAAGACAAAACAAAACGGTCCCTCAAGGAGCTTATATTCTACCGCGTACGAGTTAAAACACAACTAGCAGAGTGCAACAACGGCCAACACGAACAGAGCCACATCCTCCCAGCAATATTCTCCCCCTGGGGCAAAGAGCAAGACTGCCCATCATGTCTGTAGAGGTAGGCACTGAAAACAAGACCCAGTCACACCTGGAGGTAAGGGCCCTAACCTCACGGCCACCCCAGGCAAGGCCATAAAGAGCCTTCAGGCCAGGCTGCTTCCGTGGAGGCTGCCAGCTAATGGCTGTGACACTGGCCCAGAAAGTGAGCCCAGCCCTCCAGGGTGCCCAACACACGCTCCTGCCACAACAGCCTGACTGCCTGGGATTTCCAGGAAGGAAAGCCTACAGGCTCCTATACCCATCTTCAACTCTCCAAAATGTATAGGACACGTCAAGGACAGAAACAGATGAACAATGAAGCGAAGGCTAAGCTCAGCCACTCAGGAGCAACTTTGCCATTTCTATAATTTCTGACTTTGCAGGGAACTCGTTATTCAAACTATGCCACTGGTTACCAGCCTATCCCTCTCACTCCAAGGACAACCCTACAAACTGAGGAGCCAAAGTGGCTCCTCCTCCTCCCGTCCTCTGCATTAAGCTGGGAGTTCTGGAGAGAGTGGGCCTAGGAGCCATGGGGGAGATGCCATCGTGGCTTCTGACATCCTGGATGAGAGCTCAAAAAAGCGTCCCACCTGAGGCTGGAGGAGCTCCCTCCATGACACCCCTGACAAGGTCGAGGGACTCGAGCCATGGCGAGCTCACTACTTCCCAAGGCAGTCAGTCTCTTCCAGGATGAGAACGCTTTGATGGGTACAAAGCTCTCCTTCATCCGGAGCTGGAATCTGTCTCCCTGTTCCTTTCCTTCCTTGGTGGACTCTGACAAATTCCGTTGTTTAATTAAATCCAACCAAGGCATAGAGAAGAGAATTTTTCCTTCAACGATCAGGATATCAATAAACCTTAGCAACCATCACCTGCCTAGTGAGAGTGAACAGGAACAGAATGACACCGTGTGGCCACGCTGCAAAGACCTGAGGCACAGGATACAAGCACGTAGCTGGAGACCACGGAGCCTTTTCACTGAGCAAGGACTAGGAAAACACACAGCCAGCTTCCTTCCAGAATCCTCCCCTCCAAAGGGCACGTAAACACACACACACACACACACCAGAACCCTCCATGAATGCCTCTTTTACAAATCTTCCAACAGCTCTTCGTAAGAGGGAGTTGATGGACAACCAGCACAGCACCTGTCTTTACTGAGCTATTAAAACAAGACAAAGGAAATCTGTCTCCCAACAAGCCGAGCCTGCTGAAGGACACCCACACCATGCTTGGAGACCTGTGGTTTGGGGAAAAACAACTCTCATCCTGATAATCAAAGCAGGCCAAGGCTGAGCCAGGGAGGCGGGAGCCAGGTGCTCTCTGGGTGGGCAGGGGGTGAATGGTAGTGGTTCCCCATACCCTGAGCAGTTGAATGGAATTCCAGTTGAATCTCTAAGCCAGGCAGTGCTAGGATGGGGTGCTCCTGGAAAGGCCTACGTGAAGGCCCTTCTGAGAGAGGTCACTGGGGGACTTTAGGATGACAGCTTCTCCAGCTAGACTCAGATGTGCACGGGTCTGTGCAGCCCAAGCGGCTGCTGCCCCAGGAAAGGGAACTGGATTTAAAGGGAAAAGGCCTGGATCTACCACTTGCTAGGAGTAGGCCCTTTAGCAAGTCTTTGTCCTCTCTCTGCCTTAGCCTGCTGATTTGTAAGAAGAAAAGGTTGGACTGGAAGGTGTCCGGGGAAGCGTCCAGCTCTGCCATCTTAGGACTTCAACAAACTCTTCCTCTTTCTCATCCAGTTCCAGGATCTATCATAAGAGCTAATAATAGTTTACGCTTCACCAAGTACTTTCGTGTATTACCCCCAGTGTAACTTCGCCTAGAGCCCTCCATCTTAATCCCAATTAAGATGATTTTATTTTCCAGAGCTTCACCCAGAGGTGGGAGAAGCAGGCATTAGGGACACCACAGAAAGCATGCCCTGTTCAGGCAGGGATGGGTAGCACTGGAGTTCCTGTTCAGCTCAGAGCTTTTGTGATTGTATGAACAGACAGGAAAGCCCAGTGGTTGGCCCAACTTGGAGGAAGCAGCCATTCTGACCATCTTTTTGTTCTGTCTCTAGGATGGTTTTCTTCAGGAGGAAGGGGCAGAGAAGGTGAACCCCAATCATGGTCGCTGGGCACATCACAGGGGATGAGAAACTGTGAAACAAGTCATTTACATGGAGCTTTGGAACTCGGAAAGACAGGGTAGTCCAAAAGGAGGCAGCCACTCTTGGGCAGGGGCTGCCACCACCTCTGATCTTGTCATCCCACAGCTCAGCTCCTGGGGGGCCTCATGAAGGTGCTGAGGGACCCCACGGGGACAAGCCTCCCTCCTTAATTTCAGATGCATCATTGTCAGTGCACAGATGTTTATCTACCCTAAGCCCAGGATGTGGCAAAGCTCATCATTTCCAACACAGTGCTCTGGAGCACACAGTAGATAGACACTTAAGTGTTTGCTGAGCTCCCCCAAAGCCCTGAAGAGGTTAGGTGGTAGATGACAAGTTCTCTCTAGATTTGGTCCACAGGACCCATCAGGAGCCTAATATACATTTGTGTTCAATTTTCCAAAGGCACTAAGGGGGACAGGAAGTGGATGCCAGGTCTGTGAACTCTGTACCTGGTCCAGCAGCCAGCACAATGCTCTTAACTGTCAGGGAACTGAACCAAATTGATCAAGGGCTGCTGGGACACAATAGATAGGCTAGAACCAGGTGTGGAGACAAGAGGAAGAGACCAGATCAAGGAGGGGTTAAGAAAGCAGAAGCCACTAGGAACACCAGGTGGGCAGGAGATGGCAAGGGAGGTTGGCTACAGGAGCTGGAGCTGGGAGATATTTCCCCACCTTCACCCCCGAGTTACAGCCTGACTTCTGTTTTTGTCTTTAACCCTAAAGACAAGGACCTACCTCCCAACAGAGTTTGACCTACCCCCTTCTATGATACAAGTTCATCCCAACTTAACCCAGGGTCAGCCCCAACACCTTTACCATCACAAAGTACAAACATAAGAGGCAACTAGGACCAGATAACTTTTCTTTTCAAAGGCTTCTGGGACTGGCTCTCCCCAGTGCAAACTTATACAGGCTGAGCAAATAGACTGAGTATAGTAGATTGGGCAGACTGAGAGCCAGCTGACAGGAATGACTGGCTTCAGCACCGGGGAAGGCTGACCCTGAGAGTTTGGGGCCTCCCCTCAATGGAAGGTTTCTGCCTCTGCCCCCAAGTTTAGTCACCACTAGTAATGAAGGCAGAGGCAAAGGCAGAGGGCTAATAAGCAGGCTCCGGACCTTCACACATTTGCTCTCTGGAGTAAATCAGAATCATGAGGTGCAAAGCAATGCTGTGTGGACTGGGGCAAGAAGTTAACTGTCTCCTGCATGGGAACAACCCCAAGAGAGATACTCAGGTAGTGCCTCAGGGTCCAAGGGTCATAAGTCAAGTGACTGGCAAGGCCTTCTGCCAAAACAAGTCCCATCCTCATTTCCACCTTGGGCCTGCAATCTCTGGAGCATGAAAAAGCATTCCAGTGAAGGCCTGGGGAGTCAGAGTCTACTAGCCCCGGTTCTGCCACTAACCACCTGAGGGACCCTGGGCAAATCAATCCTCCTCTCTGGGCCAGAGTCTTCTCATCTGGAAAATGTGAGTTGAACTAGCTGAGCCCTAACCTACCAGCAAACTCTCATGTCCTAAGGTCTAAGGCCCCTTCCAGCTCAGACGAGAGAGTTGCCCTGAGCTCCTTGTCTAAAGGCATGACAACGGACTGATGCACCACATTTCCCAGGGCTCAGTTACTGGAACACTACCCTTGCCCTCCTCTTTCTCTGAGTATAACTTTCCAAGAGATCAGGATAAAGGCCCACAGGGTCAGAATGCATGTTCTATACTACAAGAGCACAGGGGGTTCAGTTAGTGGCAGGCTATACAGACACTGGGCTGACCAACACCATACAAAGAATTTCAGTGGGAAAGTCCCTTCCAGGTGAGAGGTGGACGTCAGGAAAGAACATAACCAGCAAACAAAATGGAGAGAGAAAAATAACCTACTTAAAGGCATATCCCCCATGAATGTGTTCATCTGAAAGAGTTGGAAGACTTGGAAAGGGAGATATCGTTTCCCTAAAGGGGCGGCCACATCAGATGAGGATGTGCTAAAGGAGTCATCAGTCCATACCCCTAAGAAAATCTAGAGGGAGGACCGCTACTTCTCTGAAGTCATCCCATGGTCCCCTGGAGAACATGATGGGTATTAGGTACTGTCTGGATAGCCCTCGGCCAAACCTCTCTTTCCACTGAAACCACTTAAGTCACGTGCACCTAATGGGTGGTAATCTTCCAGTTTTCAAAAACGACTCTATAGCAAACCACCAACAAGGTATGAGTATGAGGTAGGGCTTCTGTAAGTGCCCTTCCTACATTCTGGTGGAGGTGTCAGAGAGATAGTCAAAGGACGGGGGCAGGGGGTTGGGGGAGACAAGGGGCCTAAGGCAGTTTACGACCCAATGGAGGGGGAACTCATATCTTTGTGTAAGGTAAAGAGGAGCTGGAAGCTCCCCTATTTGGACCACCCATATGTAACAGGATCTTAAAGCCTACCATTAAAGACATTGCTTTGGGCTAATCAATGGCCTTTCCAAGAATCCCCAGGGTGGGGCTGAAACCTTCTGAATGGTTTTGTTGGATTGGTTTCAGAGAAGACAAAGAATAGGTACAGAAGGAGGAGTGAGAGGGCACTAGAAGGATACGAACCCTACCTACTTCATCCTGGGTTTGGACAATACTAACACTGGGCTGCCCAAACAGCCCATCTACCCATCTACCCAATGAGCAATGGCAGAAGAATGTTCTATTGTGTTCTCCTGAGGTGGCAAGGAGAAGATTCTCATTTTTCTCGTTGGCCTGTGGGAAATAGAGCCAAACATATTGAAGTTACAAAGTTTCAGTCTCAACAGCTAACAACAATGCCAGGTCTAGGCCTTGCTAAATTTGCCTGGTCTGTGGAAAACAGAGTCAGACACGGCCTATGTTAAGAGGCTCTTGGTCAACAAGTTGTTCAAAAAGAAAAGGCAGGCAGGGTGTGTTGGTCCTGTAGGAATGTTGATGGCAACGTGCTATTCTGGTCTATCTCTGGGATGTGTCCGAGGTGAGATGGGGAGATATGGAACACCAGGACCTGCATGACCTGAGGAAGCTCCCTGACTGGCTGCAGAAGGTGGCATTGCTTACAACCCCCCCCCCCCCCCAATAATTAAAACCTGGGATGCACAAGTTAAATTCTGGGAAAGAGAGCTACCATTCTGGGGCCTTGAATACTCCATGGCCAATGGCCACGAGGCAGCCAACAGAGCAGACCCAAAGGCAGGCCTGCGGAGTAGGAGCGCAAGCTTGAGAAGCATTAGAGACAACTAGTCAGGCACTGGGCAGATGCTCTGTGGGTACTCTAGCATCCTGCAGTGATAACCCTTTTGTAACTTAATTCTTCAGCAGCCCTGGGTTTGCTCTTGACTAGCTCTCTACTGAGTTTAGCTCTCTGGATCTTAGCTTTCTAATGCCATGAAATATCCCTAAATAATATCCCTAACCTGTCTAATTCACATGGCTCTTATAAAAACTACTCCAATGGATTGGTGATACCATCAGTTTGGAAGTTCCCTCCAATGATGTAGATCCCAACAGGCTTGTTATAAAAAGAGCATTTTATGCATTATAAAGGGCTTTGAACATGTGGGCTAGTATTGGTAATTATTACTCTCTTGTTAATAAAATCCCTAGATGAACTAGGTATGTCTTGAGATTGGTCCAAAGGGAAGTGGATTCTTAGAGCCACAAGAACCATTTGGATGATGACAACAGTGGTCAGAGAAAATGGACAAGGACCTGGGGTCTAGAGAAGCAAGCCCATGAGCCCAATTCTGTCTGGGAAATAGCTCTGGGACCACAAGGCAGGCAGTGGGGTACCAGTCGCTGAGGCCTGGGCTGGCATAGAGTGCTTCAGGCCTGTGGGCTCACAGCTGACAGAAGCCATCAGCAGCCAGGGACGGAAGCCTGCATCAGAGTCCTGAGACCTGAGCTGCACCCCAGCTCTGCCACCACTTGGGTTCGTGGGCTCAGAAAAGTTCTTTTCCTTTTCTGAGTCTCCATTTCCTCAGATACCAAATGGGGACGGTGACTCTGTCACTAGCTCTTTTCCCTCGGTCACTGGGAGGGAAGTATGTTTTTTAAGCCAGAAAGCGCTACAGAAATGCAGGCTGTGATGATGGGAAACCCAGAGGACCTGACATCTCCAGCCTTGCCTTGCCTCTCCTCTCTGTGGCTATGTCTGATAGGATGCAGCAGAGACAAGCAGAAGATCTCCATCCTTAGCCTTTCTAGGATCGACTCAGGCCGTGAAGCCTCCTCTACTAAAATCCCAGAGGCCTCAATTGTACAAGGGTTAGTCACAAGGGCAGAGGCTCTCAGGAGGTTCAAGCTGGCTGGTGGCTGCAATGACAATGGCTGAGCTGTGTGCCAATCGCAGAAAGGGTAGAATCATTAAAATGATCTTGACTAACACAATCACGTTACAAATCTGACTTTAGCTTCACATCCCACACTATCTGTAAGTCAATGTCATTTGTAAGGTCCCTAGATCCAACAATGCTGTGGACATCCCGGGAATTAGGGGCAGTATCACAGAACACAAGAACAGAAACCTCGTCTCCCCAGCCCTGATGCGAGGAGCTAAGGCCCCTTCGAGATCTACATCCTATGTTCTGGAACGAAGACACTATAATTCTGATACGATGACAGCCACTAGCTTTGACATTGTCCTTGTCACAATCCCAAGCAAACACTTCCCCATTCGACTGTTACTGCTCTGTCTTAGCGTGAATGACCTTAGATGAGGCATAGGTCTGAGAAGTACTCCCAGAAGCCAGAGAACCCTGGTCAGCCAGCCAGAGCACCTTTTCCCAGTGAATGAAAAGGAGTGGCCTTCTCTGGCTAGTGAAACATTCTGTCTCTGAGTGGGACCAGACAGGATGAGACATCAGTGAAGCATGAGGCACAGACAGTGACAGTGAGTGACCATGGGTTGGCAATGGACACACTGGAGACAGGAAGCAAGGCTTATGGAAGCACAGAGTCCCTTACTTGAGGGGAGCTGCCAGGAGAGAAGCCTTGATTGGAGACAGGAGAGGTGGGAGACTGGTTGGCTGGGGAGCCAGCATTACTGCGGTACTGCTGGAGTGAACCCTACAGAACAACACAGAATTAAAGACCGTGGGATCGATGGAAGGTTGAAAGGTTATATATTGATTGGTGCATAGCTGGAAATGCTCATCAGCAATTCTAAGCTAGGACGATGCAGCTGTCACAGAGAGCAGGAGCCCTGGGCTCACACACCACAGGCTGGACTCAAGCTCACTGGAGGGGCCCGATGGCCAGTGCAGGTTTTCAAAGATCGTGATCTTTGCCAGTAGAACCCCATTATCACTTTATTTTCTGGCCACACAGATTTGGCTGGCCTCTCACATCCTCTCAGAACAGTGCTGAAAAAAAAAAAAAGCCTGATACAGCTATAACACATCTGGCTACAAGGTAGGTCTCAGAGTGATATCACCGATACTGGATCATAAAGGGGTTCTACTGTGTCTATAGCCTGCTGGCCAAGAGAAGCTGGGTACGGTCCAAACTGTCAGTACTTTTCACTTCCAGTCTATCCTGGCCCCATCCCATTCTGCTTTCCCCTCCCCTCCCCCACCTTCTTTGCTTCAAAGACAGGGCTGGTCTCAAGCCCCAGTCTGAGCACCACAGAAAGTCCAAACAGATATACACATCTCTATTTTAATTTGTTTAATATACACTAACTCCCAAGCCTTACACCTCCCTTCCCACTTACAGGCTATACTGAGGGTGCTTTGAAAATTGCGCCCTTTATACTCAGCCTCATTTTAATCTGTTCCTTTGACATCCTTTTTACAGAGGTCCCTTTTCTCTAGCAGAGGCCACGGTCAGCGCTTAACTGGTCAGGTTATTTGAGCACAGGGCGAGTTAGACTTAGGTGAAGGGCCTGGGGTCAAAATGATTTCTCACATTCTCTTGGAAGTTACTGTGAATAAGGGTTCCAAGGTATCTGGGAAGGAGCATTTCTCAGAAGATCCCCAACCATCCTGAAGCCCTCTTCTAAGATACTGTACTGGGAATTTAGGTACAAATGATTTATTTGCAAATGGGAAGTCCTACAGGGAATCAAACTACCTCCACACCGGTCTTCCTAGGAGACAGTAATGTACCATGTGGTAGCAAGCCCACTCAATGGAAAACAGTAATCAGCATTAATTAAGTGGGCAGGAGAGCTCCTCAAAGCCTCTTCCTGGGACTGCTCCAGATGAAGAGAGCTCCCTATTAGAAGCTTGAGACAGAAATGCCCGAGGACCTGGAGTCCCCTTCAGTGGTACTACAGTGGGGCCCTGAAGCAGCTAGGGAGAAGTCTCATCCAGTGATTATAGGGGAGCTACTTGAAAATGCCACAGAGTGACTCCTGTTATCATTTCCACAAAAGGCAGAGAGCTGATCCTGGAAAGATCTGGATTCGAGTTCTGCTTTGGACACGTGTAGGCTGTGTGACCCAGGGGCTGTAGGTAATTAAGACTCTAAGTTGCAGAGGTGCTGGCCTGTGTTGGAAGGGGGGCTCCTCAGGTCGATGAAATCGCAGATCCAATCTCTATTCCTATCTCTATATCATTTCCATTACTTTGAAATGAAAACTCGAAGGCTCGGAATTTCCAGGGTTTGGCTCTTTTTATGTGTGAAAAGATTGAAAGCAAGTATAGAACATTTGGATTTGATTCTGCAAAAATTCACAGCTAGGAAGGGCCAGTAAGCAGGTTCAGATTTGTCCTGTTATTTTTTTTTCTCTTTGGTATCCAAATCCATATTCTCTGTTGGTGGAGGGATCCTACCTTTCTTGGGCCCTTTTCTTCCAGGGCTGGCCAAAGCAACAGCCTCCCTTGTCAGAGAATCATGGGAAATGGTGGGCTCTGTCACCAAAGGACAAGGGCAGCTCACTCCTGTATCTCTCTGGAGCTGTCCAAGAAGCCCCAAGAAGCTACCATTTATTTGTCATTTGCCTTATACCTATATACCCTATATACCCTTCCCACTGAGGACACTAGAAAACAAATGAGTCCTACAATGGGGAAAAGACAGGGCACAGCACCAAGTGCTGTCAAACCCTCAAGTTTTGGTGGGCACCCCAAGGTGGAGAGAAGTACTTCTTGTCTTCTCTTGCAGGACATTTAGCCAAAGAAAAGGACTCATTCTGCACTGTGATTGGACAGCTTGCTCTGATATTTTGTCTCTCCTTTCCTTCCTAAGCTCCTTCTCCCTGACACTTTCAGGAAGGCCGAGGCACCTGAGGCGGCCCTTAGCTCTTCTTGGTGCCAATTCTTGGAACCTTGCCCCTCCTTCCAAAGAAAGCGCCATGTTAACGACTCCCTCTGCGGAGATGGCAGCCCGGGACCCTTATGGTGACCGGTCTGTCTGTTCAGTGAGATGCCAGCCCAGTGCTAACTTCTGACAACTGCTTGGATGCTGGTGAGTCAGAAAGAAACACTCTGAGTTCATTTGAAGAAGCTGCCGTTATCAGATGCATAGTAGTGACTCACTGTGCTTAAAATTAGGAACCTGACAAACTTTAAAAGGCGTTCCTCACTCAGCAGCCACAACTGATCGCGAACGGCACACTCTAATGAGCTCTGAGCCTTGATCCATTCTATTCTGCGGTTGCCAGCATACAACACAGGAAGGAGGACACTAGCCCCAGTACCCAAAGGGATCCAGCTGCATTTGTTAGCTCAGATAAGCACCTATTTGACTCCCCTGACATCCCTTGCCCCACCTGCGTAGCCTCCCACTTTGGCTAGCCCCTTCAAGAAGATGCTAGCATACGTCCATAGGCCCAGGTGGCCCATGTTCCACCTTTACATTTGGAGTGCAAACTCCCCGAGGCCCCAAGGGGCCCGGCAATGGGCCATGCGCTTGGGGGCAGAGAACCCAGCTGGCTGGTGCACAGCCTCTCAAGGGTGGCCATCAGTCATCACGTGATGTCTGTGAGGTCACAGAAGGACCCCAGTGCAACGGTAGCAGGAGAACCTGGCCTGACAAAATCAACTTTCTTCTGACACACCGAAAGGAAGTGTTAAAAGACTTAATGTATACATGCACCTCAGCCAGGTGAGAAGCCAGAGAGGCTCTGCAGAGAGCAGAGGAAGGCCCTCACCCTCCCTGAGTCTATACACACAGAGCTCCATCTCCTCCCAGCTCCAAGGCCCCCACCGCCCTCCGCCCAATCTCAGCATCTTTCACTGTCTGCGTCCTTCAGGCTGCGGCACCACAAACTTACCGAGGTGATGTCTATTCCCATCGATGGCTGGGCCTGGTTGCCTGGAGGGGACTGGGGGATAGTAGATGGTACTGTGACCGAGAGAGGGGGGAGTGGCGGCCCCCGCTGTAAACCCGAGCTCGGCATTAAGGGGGTGGTCTGGGAGAGGCTGCTGGGCACCTGGGGCTGCTGTGGCTGTGACTGGGGCTGCGGCTGCTGCGGAGGCTGCTGGGGCGGCGGCGGCGGTGGCTGCTGGGAACTCGCTTGAGTGAAAAAGGAGTATGGCAGCTGCTGCTCCAGGGACAGAGCGTCCATAGCCACGGCCTGAGAAGGGTAGACACGAGACGGCAAAAGTTGTCAAACCATTCCTCTGAGAGCATCTGCTAACTACAACAATGGGCACTGAGGGCAAGCGAGCACCTTTCAAATTCAATCCACACACAACATATGTGATTCTGGGCTGACTAGATGATCTCCAAAGCTGGGAGGCATGTGAACTCTCTGTCTGCCACTTGTCTGTGAGTCAACAGGCCCAATGGAAAGGGCGTTATCTGCAGACGGCAATGCCGTCATTTGTAAAATGGCATGGACAACAACAACAGCGGTCACAGTTCGTGGTCCTGAAGAGCCTCATCTCGGACAGAGCCCTTTGTATCCATTCTGTCCTCTGATCTTCACAACACTAACGAGGTTGATCAGGCTAATGATGTTTTTTTTGTTTGTTTGGTTGGTTTTTTACAAGGGAGAAAACTGAGGCCCCAAGAGGGCAAATGACTTGCCCAAAGTCACTCAGCTGCTAAGCAGCTGACCTGGGTTTCCTGATTCACAGCCAGTATCAGTGTTAAAGGCCTGCATTCCATAGCCATGGGACAACCAGTCTGGGCCTTATTCTTCCTCTGGGGCACGACTCTCTTCTCCAGGCACTGTGAGGGAAGGGCTCTCAAAAAAAGGCAGTGGTTGTTGCTGTGGGTGGGAGCCCATCCAGGGTCCCCGCCCTCCCATATAAAGGTGTGGGCTGTGATGCAGAGTTTCACTGCTCCCTTGGGGCACTCAAGCCTCAGTCCTGACTCCATCCTCTGCCAGCTCTTTCCTGAGGCCTGGTTTGGCTAGGGCCAAAGGGTTAGCTTGACAGCGAGGTTTGTATCCAGGACTCCTCAGGACTAGTCTACATAGAGGTTTTTGCTGCTAATGCACCTCCCCTCCTTGTCTCCAGGGCCAGACTCAGGAGCTACTCATGGGATTACAGACTTGAAAGATGAAAGGGGACTTTGCTGATATCCAGTCTCACCCTCTCATTTTATGGATAAGGAAACAGAGGTTTAGAGCTACGGAAAGACAACTGAGGGTCACAAAGTGAGTAAATATCAGAGGTAGGATTTGAACTCGGGGCTTCCTCATTCCAAGGCCAGCATTTCCTCCACTATGCAAAGTTGCCTTTTTTTGGTTTCAATGGCACTTCAGGCTTGCTGGAGCATGGACATATACCATAAATTTAGCCAAAAGAATCACTGAGGAGGTTCAATCCTGAGAAAAGATAATCACACAATGCATTCTAAATTCAAATGTGACAGGGCCTCAGTTTTCCCATCTGTAAAATGAGGATACTAATTCTGCCTCATAGCTTTGGGGGAAGATTAAGTGAGAAAAGGCATGAAAAGCATACTGCAGTCACAGAGCACTACACACATCCAAATTATTATCAATTTCATTGGCTTAGACAGGGCTACTATGAGGAAATCATTTTGTGAACTTCAAAGCACTGCACAGTGTGCGTTATTAAAGCGATCAGTGACTGCCCTCTGTGCACACGCGAGATGGCGGGGCCTGGCGGACAGGGCAGGAAGGTCTGTTCCAGTCTCACCTTGGACACTAGCAAGGCATTTATTTCTCTCCACTTGTTTTCTCATTGTCAATTGGAGGCGACCTAAGTCATGAGTTTCTCGAGAGGCTCAAATAACATAACGTATGTGGAGTGCTGCTAGGTCAACACTAATTGTTAATGTTATTCCATGGAGATATTGGAGAGGAGGCGGTGGCCATCAGCAGAGGCAGAGTCGGCGAGCCCCCGAGCTCGATGCCACCTGGCAGCCTGCCGGGACCAGCTGCCACGACCCTGAGCAAAACCTTGCCAACACAGATGTGCCGCAGCACAGGGGCACGCTTGGCTTTCTGTACTGAACGCCCGTGGCCACTCCAGGGTGCACCTGGGAGCAGACAGCAGTTACGTGCTTGTGTGAAGAGGGGCGTTTAAAATCTGAAGCTAGGAGGATTATGAGGAATCCTGGAATGTTGGGGCTTGGGAGGGACTGTGGAGATTATCTAGTCCATTACTCCCATTTTATAGAAAGTTCACATTTATATAGCTTTTAAGATGCAGCTACCAAGGCCTTGGAGGAGGGAGAAGGAGATGTAGACAGGCTGGGATTAGAACCCAGGACCACTGATGCTAAGTCCAGGCCATTAGGACACCAAGATGCCCCCACAGGACAGGGATAGGGCACACTGAAGGCACTTAATAAATATGCAATGAAAACCAGCTTTCATTCTTCCTCTGGTATTGGTTTTACCAGCACTATCACCACAAAAGCCCTCCAAGTACCAGTATTTTATGCCTATTCTACAGATAAGAAACTGAGATTCAAAGAAAGTTCAATGTGGTTTGAAAGCATCAGAGCTAGTCCTCAGGGCCTCGACTTCCCAGTCCAGGGCTCTCTCCACTACACCACAATGGTGCCCCCAAAGCTGGGTCACTTCTAGTCTGGGATCAAATAAAAACTCGGACAACCCAAACCAGACAGCTCATCTCTCTTCTCTCCATGTCTAGCCTAACAAATGTGCACTCCCAAAGGTGACAGGCTCCCGTGTACCTGAGTGATTGGCGACAGAGGGGAGAGCGTGGGAGACATCTGCTGGCTCTGCTGCCGTCTTGACTCTGCGTTCAGGGACAGGGGGCTGACCGCTGGCTGACGGTGCTGTTGGGAGGAACCTGGAGTCGCCAACATGCCTGAAATTCAAGAAGCAGCCAGCTTGTGGGCCAGGGCCCTGAGCCCTCCTGGATTCGTTCTGCTGAACAAGGGTCCTGGTGGGATCCCTACAGCTCATATCCCACCACCTCCAGCTGATAATAAAAGTCAAACCTTCCAGTGATTAGGCCAGCACAATGGACCCCCTGTGACTGGCTCCTGTGCTGGCTGAGTAGTTCAGCCACCCACGATCTTCTGGGGACAAAAGAGTCCCTGGGATCGGGCAGCGATAAGGGCAGAGGCACCCTGACATCAACGCTACTCCATTCAAAGCTCTGAGAGTCAGAGAATCACTGAATCAGAGAGATGGAAAGAACTGCAGAAATCATGTACTCCAAACCCCTGTTGGAAACATGAATCATTACTAAAATTCCCCACAAGGACGTTCCCAAATTACAGAACCTAGAAAGGTCCAGTCATCCTCAGAGTGTTTGAAAAGTATTAAATAATAGTAAACACTTGCATAGTTTCAAAGAATGCCAGTTCTGAGAGGGCCCTTAAAAGAGAGAATGTCAGACCTGGGACGGGGCCTTTAGAACAGAGAATGTCAGAGCTGGGGGGGCCTTTAGAACAGAGAATGTCAGAGCTGGGGGGCCTTTAGAACAGAGAATGTCAGGCCTGGGACGGGGCCTTTAGAACAGAGAATGTCAGAGCTGGGAGGGCCTTTAGAACAGAGAATGTCAGAGCTGGGGGGGCCTTTAGA